GTGTGTGTGTGTGTGTGTGTGTGTGTGTGTGTGTGTGTGTGTGTGTGTGTGTGTGTGTGTGTGTGTGTGTGTTGAAAGATACCCAGGCAGATAGAAAGACAGATAGACAGACATGCTTAGATTCAGACAAGCAGACAGACATACAGATAGATAGACATACAGCCAATCAGACAGACATGAACATAAAGCCATACAGATACACAGACAGACAATAAAAATACATCCATACACACGTAGACAGACAGATAAATATGTCCCCATTCAGACACACAGAAAAGATAAACATACACCCCTACAGGTAAGCATACACAGAAAGATAAACACATCCACCCATACAGGAAGACAGACACACAGAAAGATAAACACACATCCACCCACACACGAAGACAAACAGACACACAGAAAGACAAATACACATCCTCCCAGGAACACAAACACAAACAAACAAAGACAAACAGAAAGATGAATAACCATTAAATCACAAACACATCCATACGCCCAGCTTCGCCTTACATTCCCCCCTGTGTCTCAGGGTGAGTCCTCTGACGGAGCACTTCTCTGCCTCCAAAGCGCACTCGTTGGAGTAGGTCTTCCCGTTGCTGCCACACACCGGGTCGTAGTTGAAGGGGCAAGCAGTCGGGCAGTTTTGAGAAGGCGCTGGGGGCAAGGAGGCACTGATTTCAGTTTTGAGAAGGAGCTGGGGGCAAGGAGGCAATGATTTCAGTTTTGAGAAGGAGCTGGGGGCAAGGAGGCACTGATTTCAGTTTTGAGAAGGAGCTGTGGGGGCAAGGAGGCAATGATTTCATTATTGTTACGATCATCGTTATTATTTTCGCCAAAAGGTTGTGTTTTATGGCAGCGTTGGTTAGCTCTTTGTTTGTTTGTTTGTTAGCAGCATAGCTCAAAAAGTGAGAGAGAAAATTTTTTTATGTGTCCTGAATTTTGGTGGTTATCTGGATCATGTTCCGAGTCCAGGGTTTTTTTTTTTAGAAATGTATCAGCAACTATTATATCATTACATTTAATGCCTTCGCCAAGAGGATTATGTTCACAGACGTTATCAGAGTACTTGAGAAAGAGGTCACTTTAATGAAATTCTTCAAGTGTAAATATCTTTATTGCATCAGTGATCCTACTGCCTTAGCTTCTAGTTATCATTGTCCTTTGTCTTACTTCATTACTATTATTGCTATTATAATTGTTTTTGGTAGCGTTGGTTTGTTACTTTGTTTGTCGGTTAGCAAGATAACTCAAAAAGTTATGAACAGATTTTATGATCTTTTTACCAGAGGATTTTTTTGAAGGATTCATTGACATTACGAGATAGATAAAAACCTTTTTGACATTTCAATTGTTATCACTATCATTATTATTATTATCGTTATTATCATCATTATTAATGGATATTCTTCCAGCGTGAATTTTCTTATTGCATCAGTGACCCTATTGCCTTGGCGGAGGTATGCGCTCTCTGAGTGCTTCTAGTTCTTCTCATCATTATTATCATAATCATTATTGTTACAATTATTATTTTGATTATCATTCCTTCCATGATTATTATAATTATCCTTTTTGTCACTATCAACCTCCTCACCATTAGGATTACAAGTATCATCATATAACTCAAAGCAATAATGTAACTGAAGCGATGCAATTTAGCAATCACCATCTCCATTAACACGAGTGACAAAGCAACAACAATAACAAAAGCGATAATGAATATAAATAACTAATGAAGAAGAGAGAGATAGACCACAACTCACCGAGTGACAAAGCAAAAACAATAACAAAAGCGATAATGAATATAAATAATAATAAAGAAGAGAGAGAGAAAGACCACAACTCACCGCACTCTCCCTGGCTCACGGCTCTCAGTCTCCGGTTCCTGCACGCGGCCGCCTCCAGATTGCACTGGCTGGGGTACGTCTGCCCGTCGCTGCCGCACACAGGGGCGTAGATGGCGGGGCAGATGCTGATGCCACAGGAAGGGCGCCCTCCTGTGCCTGGCCTGAATCCTGATGAAGAGGGAATAATATCCTTTTTCGTTTTTTCTCCTTAAGGTAGCAATGGTTGAATATTTTTTTTAAATCTTGTTGGCATGGGTTCCTCACCAAGCAACAACCACCGCAAACAAATCAACAACAATAATAAGAGCGAAAATGAAAGGAAATAATTGATTAAAAAAAACAGAAGAGAGAGAGACCACAACTCACCGCACTCTCCCTGGCTCACGGCTCTCAGTCTCCGGTTCCTGCACCTGGCCGCTTCCAGATTGCACTGGCTGGGGTACGTCTGCCCATCGCTGCCGCACACAGGGGCGTAGAGGGCGGGGCAGACGGTGTTACAGGGGTTTATAACAGATCCTCCTGGCCTGAATCCTTTCGAAGAGTGAAGATTGTAGTTTTCGTCTTGGGAAGGTAATGATGTCTGAATAATATATTTTTAAAAAATCTTGTTGGCATGGTTTCCTCACTTACTTGGGGGAATGGGGCTCCTGGCT